GCGAGCAAAATGTTTCATTTTTCTATTCCTGCCAGCAAGAGACCGGGGGGCAGGGGAGACGATAAAACAACATCCCGATTTTTTATTTACTCTAATAACACCGTGTACGATTCACTGAAGCAGCGAGCGAGTTCTCCGCCGTAGCTCGTACGATACACGCGGTCAGTCGATACTGGTGCCGGGGCAGTAAACAGGACCACGGAGGGCCCCCCCCCCCCACTGTTTTGCTGCCCTTAGACGCGAGAGAAACGCGTCCAGTTTGGGTCACAGGGCTCGCACCCGGAGTGTCACGGATGATGGAGACTTTGTGTCACGGGCGCCTCGGGAACAATTTCACGCACCTTGCCCTGCGCGGGCGCGCCATCGCACGCACATCCAGGGCTCTTAAGCTCGCGGTGTTTAAAACCCGGGCGAGAAAGTCGTGAGATCAGGATGGGGGAGCCTCACGAAGCGCACGAGTGACCACCCCGCTCAGTGGCGGAGTAAGATAGTGCGGGGCCTGTAGCATATGTTATAAAGGGGCCCTACATAAAAAAAGAGATACATATTAAAACACATAATGTTTAACTTGCATAGTAAAGTAATTGTATTTTATTTATTTCCGAGACATGCCAGATAATACGACAAATCGCTAACCTAAAACACCCAGTCGTTCATAAAAGTTGAAGGCGGTATAGTACTATAGTAATAGAGCAAGTGCTGAATCACTGAACCGGAATTGATAGCTTGAAAGCATTTAGCGCGGGGCTATTGAAAGCGCGGGGCCCGTAGCTACATATGTAGCTACTTTTGCTATTGGGATAATCTGGCACTGCCCCCCCCCCCCCTCGTCATCCCCCCCCCCGAAAGAAATAACAAAAACTGTCAGCAAATGACGCAAATATAACTCGGCACAAAATCAACTGTACCACGTGAGAACCCCCCCCCCCCCAAAAAAAAAATCGAAAAACATTCCCCAAACATAAATCAAGATCACATGACCACTGCCGCTTTCTCCGCCGGATTTCTGCAATCAACCTGGCGCAGTCACGTGAGCGGCAGTGTCTCCCTGCTTCGACGATCGATAGGGCACGTGGTCATGTCCGTGCGTAAAAATTCCACATCCCCATGTCAAGGTGTTCCAATTAAGGGCGGCGTACAAGGCTGTCGTTGGCCGGTCGCACCGAGCCATTAGTGCGGGACCATTCTGGCCGCAGCAATGTCTTTGTTTCTTTGGAAGCTCGAGAAAAAATCTGATTCAGAGTTGAATGTTAATTCTGCTGTCGGTGTCACTTCGCGAGATTAGCACGGTTGGCTACGTACGGTGCGAAAGAAGGTCAACGTACATATCCATACGAGATTAAGACCCCTTTTGAAACTCTTTCAGAGCAGAGCAGTGGAATGTTCATACCTGTCAACCCCTTATCAGTGCCCTATCTTATTACAGATAAATTCAGACCTTATTAGTAACCCAGTGCACTTATAAATCTCAACGTTCATTCTACAAAGTCCCATCAACAAGGGAGAAACACAAACAAATATACAAAAACATGATTTTTTTTGCCCGTATTGAAACGGCTTTGCGCCGTTTGGAACTGAAAACTCAATTTCTCTGTACAACTATATGTGTAAAGCGTATGGGTTGACAGGTATGCATGTTAGAGTATGGCCTACGGAAGGTGATATCAGGTAACTATTTCTGAAATCCCTTTCATTGACCAATTTATTTCACATCAAGGGGCGCTACAGGTTCCCATACACTCATTACATGCCAATCGAACCAGAGCATTTAAGGGAAATTAATATATTGATCAAGTGAGAAAACTAATTTAATATTACTGGTGAGCTTCGTGCAGTCATCGGTAACTAGGTTGAGATCATCAACTCGTCACGATAATTGAATGAGTCATGATAATCATATATTATTATATATTATTATCATGAGCTCATGACATGTGATGCCTTTTAGTCAGGCTCAAATCCCTCTATGTGATGCAAACGGTGGTGAAGTTGACACAGTAGGGGGCACAGGTGGTGCATCAGCTAGTCATCTCAGTCATCTCAGTCAGTCTACCGGTGGCACCTGGGTCTGCCCCGTGACCTCCTGCCAGCGGGCGTTCGACACTTCACGTGGCCTCAAGGTGCACATGGCCTGGCACAAGCGTCGTGGTGACGTCACCGCCACTTAGTGGCAAATGGTGGTTGTTGTTGTTGTTATTAAGGGGTGTTACGTCGCATTGATTCATTGATTGATATCGATATTTAAGCTCACGTGTGTGTTAAAATCAATATTTTTCAATTTGTATATTTGTTGCATGTAATTGGCTCACGTGACACATGCGGCCGTTATACATTCTACATTCACTACACATGGCTATGCAACGAATCTTGAATCATAATGCTACTATTCATCTAATTCGGAGAGGGTTGCTTTGTTACATGCCCACTAAGCACTTCAAAAAGCCCCACACACATTCAATCATCATCATAATTGTAAATAGAAATCGTAAAATTCCTTCCTTCTGTCGTAGTACATGCCATGAGTTCACGTGACCCCTGCAGATACTCGCGGCTGCTGCATTCACCACAGTACAGTGAGGGATCGATATCACAGATCCTATTAACTGTGGGGTTATCCGCTATTTTATTCCGCGGTTAAAAAAATGCGAATAATAAGAAAGATTTGGCGCTTAACTCTAAAAGCAACTAGCTTCTACCATCTACATAACAAAGGCTCAGTCTCATTAGCAGCAGCCACACCTTAACAACTCTGGCACCTCCCAGCTCAACCAGTCTACACAACAAAGGCTCAGTCCTAGCAGCAGCCTCAGCTGCACCAACCTCACAACAATAATAAAACAAAACTCCGATCCAGGGGCCAACCTTGGCTCCCCCCCCCCTCAACCAGTAGATATACAAGGTCGGGTCTCTTAGAATTTCTCTCACTTGATACAGCTATCGTGCTGTGACGGTTTCACCTGAAGACGGAAGCTTGTGTTGCCTCCGAAACGTCGTGATTTTTTATTTAACTTTTATTAATTTAAATTTTATTTTTTACCTACGTGACTTTACCGAAAAAAAACCTAAGAGTATCATAGGGAGCGGTTTACGGAAAAAATAGGGTCACTTATAGTTGGAGTCTTCGCAAACCCAACAGCTTCTGCAGGTAACAGGAGAACAGGGTGGCGGATAACACTGGTCAACACACTTTTTCTGGCATAAGGTATTCCAACGGTTTAAAGGTAATTTTGGGGTGCTGATTCCAAATCAGTTTTTGTCTATCACATCAGGTTTTTGAGATATCAAATATTGCATTTCAATAAAAACTGCAGAAGAAAAATATTAAATAAATGTGGATATCTACATAAAATTATATTATAAACACACTATCCTAAAAATACAGCACCATATTTTAACACTAAAGCAGTCACTGACTCGCAACAACTTGCAATCATAAGTGACAGAGTTAATTTCGGGTAAAATCAATGAAAATGGGATATGCCGATAGCATAAAAATGAAATGTGATAGAGCAAATCTGAGATCAGATTTGGAATCAGCACCCTGAAATTAGTCTAAAACAGCTGCAAAAGTCCAGGCCAGAAAAAAATGTTTTTTTTGTTGACCAGTGTAATAGGTGTTCACCTGGATCGCAACATGTCCCGAATCGCGTTACGATCCTGAATAAAATAAATGATTCCAATCGTCATGGGGGGAAGGGAGTGGATCTTCGCAGCTGTATTATTTGCTGTGCTTGGTAAACCGTGTGGGCGAGTGTTCGAGTGTGTGCCAGTATGAGTGAGCAGGTAGTGTCGTGGTTCGCGCACTGCGCTACAAAGCCGGTCAAACAACATCGGTGACGAATATCTGAACTGGTCCTGGGCCTCCGCTAGGTCGACTCAGCCTCAAATGAGTACGTGGCGCGTGCGTGTAAAACATCACCACTGGGGAGACAAAGGCGGCCGGGCGTGGTGCTGGCCAGGCATCTCATCGTGTGCCCGTGCCAACCTTCTTACATATCTGTCAACCCTTACGGTTTACCCCGTATTTTTGTACAGGGGAATTGAGTTTTCAGGTCCATACGGGCACATTTTTGCGTGTATTTGTTTGTGTTTCTCCCTTGTTATGGGACCTTGTAGGATGAACGTTGAGATTGATAAGGGGCACGGGGTGAGCAATAATGTCTGAATTTGTCTTATATAGAGCAGCAGCAGGGTGACGTCATCATTTTATTCAATCTGGTGCAGGAGAGCTTCACCATTCTTGCCCGATGAAGCTGATTGTAATTACCAGCGAAACGTTGTACTCAAATTTTTAAATGCTGTTGATTCTCTCTTAAACACACCGGTGGGCTAAAGAAGTGAATGATTTTGTCCTTTGAAAAACGTGACACATGTTTTACTGTTTGGCCGTGTCGGGTAGTGGAGGGTTACGACACATTTATAAATAACGCGATCTGACCCAAAAACCTATATTATGAATAATATTGGTCGCGAAAGCCTAAGTGTTAAACTGAATTGGTCTGTAATAAGGTAGGGCACTGATAAGGGGGTTGACAGATATATTATATTTCGATTTAAAGCTTTCGTGACTGCAGGGATTCATCTTCTTGGTTCTTTCGGTAAAGTCACGTAGAATGGAAATAATAAAATAATAAAAATAAAACATTATAAAATTATTCTCACGACGTTTCGGCCACAACGCAAGCAGCCGTCCTCAGGTGAAGACCAGGTCTGTCGAGAAGTCAGAGTCTGACTGACTCTGTCTTCTCGACAGACCTGTTCTCGACCTGAGGACGGCTGCTTGCGTTGTGGCCGAAACGTCGTGAGAATTATTTTATTATGTTTTATTTTTATTATTTTATTATTTCCATTCTACGTGACTTTACCGAAAGAACCAAGAAGATATATTATAATCATAGGTGCTCGTTAACAGCACTTGCTCCCCAGGAGAGCTTTGTGTGTGCGTGCGTGCGATTGCTCAGCTGCGCTGGAGGTAGCGATGGACCGCGACGCTCACGCACCTATTTCGCAAACCTTCCCCGTGTAGCCTCTGGGACAGTTGCACCTGAAGTCGTCCTGGCTGATCTCCACGCACCGAGCCCCCCGCTGGCACGGCTGCGAGTCGCACGGCGGGGGGATGACTGCGATGGGAAGGAGAGGAGACAGAGAGAGAGAGAGAGAGATGCCGCAGCAACGCAAGTACCTGGGTTAGTACTGCGAACATCGCATATTTCAACGGAGGCACAGTTGCAGCTGCAGCGTCCGAACCTCGGATTAGCGTGGTTGGCTAACGAACCGTGCGAAATAAGTTCAACGTACATACATGCAATTGGATTGTTATTTGGAAACATGAACAAAATAAAAAAGAAAATAAAGTGGGCCTGTGCAAGGGTATGGAGTCACGGAGAAGTGATGATGGCGAATGCAATGAGAGACTGCGATGGAGTGGCAGCCAAAGGTTGGGACGGAGCCTGAATGCCACCACAGAGGAGCAGCGATGGGATGAGTCCATGCGCTGGAGCGGCGTGGATTTTGTGGCATCGCAAGGCCATGACGAAAAGTGGCGGTATGGAGAGGACTTCATTTAGCAGTGCGTAGAGAAAGGCTGCTGACGATGATGACGGTTAAAATGTATCATCTCTTTTTAGATAAAAACATTATTTTCTTAGATGTCTCTAACTAGTGTGTTTCGTTTGTTTTTTGCCTAACTCTTTGATGAGCCCATTGATATACATAGTCGATCAAGCAAGGAGTTGTGATAGATCTGAGGGCCTTGGCTGAGACGGATCTGATGGAAGCCCTGGGTGGCAACGGTGATGGCTAGAGAGGGGTCAGCTTTCCACCCACCCCTCCTGATCCCTGCACAATTATCCTCTACGACACGCGGGCGATGATGCGTGGGTTATAGGTCAATAGGTCACCGTCCGGGTGCCTCAATTGTTAATGCCGGCCAGGTGTGACAGTGACCCCTGTGACACACGGGGCCAAGTTTGTAATTAGGGCTACGTTTAATTTGTCGAGTTGCTTTGAGTGGGAGGATTTCATTACTATTTTGTTTTTAACAGGAGGTGAGGGGCAGAAGAATACATTATTTTATTTTTCCCCAAGGGGGGCAGAGGGGGGGGGGTTAATCAGCCATTTAACAAGAAAACTGCATCCGCACAGGTCCCATAGCCCATTAGATCGCTCGCTGCATGCACACGAATCGGTCAACATGCAGGCTGTTTGTTTGCCGACGTTTGTTCACCAGAGTTGCTAAGGCATGACCCTGGAGAAGGTCAAAGGTCAAAGTGATTTCCTGCACAAATGAGCGTTGAAGTGTTTACAGCCCTGAGCCTCGTGGTGGAGATTCACAGTGCCTTCGGTGGGGGGCAAGTCTCCACAAAAGCGGTACTTATTTTATTGACCCTGGTGGATGATGGGTTGAGTCAAGCCTCGGAGCGTATTGCATCAGGCACATAGCGATTTACCTCCACGGCACGTTCTGTTTACGTGTCAACCCTTACTCGTTGGCTGTGTCGGGTGGTGGCGGGTTTTAACGACACATTTATATATTTACGTGATCTAACCCAATAACCTCTATTATGGATGATATTGTCACAAAAGCCTATGTGTTAAACTGTAACATTTCGATGGATGTGTTTGCTCTCTTCACGTAAATGTAAGATTATACATGGCCACTGCCTGAAATGTCGCTTATTATATTTGCTTTGCGTTTAAGGCGAAAGTGTTATCGACGAATGTGTTGATTTTTGTCATTTGTGCTTTGCGCCACTGCCAATGCCATCTGTTGAACGCTACACAGTTCAAATAAACCATGAAATAATTACATCGAACACGCACAGTTTGTTGGATGATGTATCATGACCATATGGATATGCTCGGCTGCAGCTCTAGTCATCCGGATGACAATTAATGACAAATAAACCTGGGCTTGAGCCACTCCTAGGTTCACTTAGCCAAAAAGTAATTATAAGGTGGCAAGTGGTCAATATTGCACGCTGGCAATCGGCGTTTTGATGGCCACGTCAACAACACTTCCTTCAAGGGTCCATGAAGCAAAACATTTCTAACATATAATCTTCACAATCAAGACTTATTGCAGCGGCATCATTTGAATACCATCCATAGATAATATATGGGTGTTGCATGCACGATCGATTTCTAGGTTCACGAGGCCAAGAATTTGGCATCTTGGAAAACAGGCCAAAATATTGGCTTCTCGTTCTTTCCTTTCATCATTGTCCGTGCGACTCGTATTCAACGACTGGAAGGGCAACGATTGAACGCGCGTGCGCGCTGCTCGGTGTCGCTCTGCGTGAACGCGCGCACGGTCCGGGCCACTCGAAAACCCAGCGGCGCGTCTCCGACTTTTCTCAGCGCTCATCACCCACCCCCCCGCCCCCCCGCCCCCCCCCCGCGCCTAAACCCCACCACCCCACCACCAACGAGACCCCCAAACTCGATCTCGCATCATCGCGCGTCCTGTTTGGCCCAGACTCGTGGCTGCGATCGATTCGTATGGATTTTTCTCGGGGGGGGGGGGGGGGGGGGTGGGGTGTGAGGGAAGGGGGGGGGGGTGAATTCAAGAGTCCTGTGGTGCCCTCGAGCAAATTAAAGCCCTTCTGCAATGAAAATCGCTGCCGTTTAACTTAAAAAAAAATTGAGAGCTTTTCAGCCGAGTGGACCGCGGGGGGTGGGGGGGGGTACGCTTGATGAGCCAGGCGCTATCACTTGACATTCGCCGGAACGCAGAGAGCGTCAAGATGTGGCATCTCTTGAAAGGCACTTGATGAATCCTGGTCGCTGCGGTGCAGCAGAGCTGAGACATTGCCGCGGCTTGTTTGAGCAAGGGTAGGGCAGGGTCTCCCAAGATTTGCTCGACGATGATGAAGATGTTAATGATTATGCCTTCTGCGCAGAGCCTAGGGTGACTGTAAAAATCTACGCCGTACGGATTCAAAACCGTCAGCCAAAAAAAATTGATCGCAATAACGATGTATTTTTGTGTTAAACGCAGATGTGGGCCTATGTGAATTATTTGTCGATTCTGCCGCTGCTGCTGCTGTGTTGGCAGTGGAGCACAAACACACAAATAACAACAACAGCAACACTCAATACGTTCGTTACTAGCACTGCCTTAACTGCCTCCCCACGTCCCTCTCTATGCTTCTCTGTGGTTAAACTGTGGCGAGATGTTAACCACCTCGCCTGGTATACAGCAGTTTGTGGGTTCGATCCTGACCCTGACGCCTGAGTTTGCGTGTCTCTCTCCCCGTGGTCGCGTGGATTTTTCTCCGGGTCCTCCAGTTTTTCCCTCCACATTGAGAATCAACATCAAGCGTTTCAGATATTTGACTGACGTAAATGTCCACGTGATAAGCCACTTCGTTGAGCTATCATTTGTGAAAAAGAAGTATATTGTTCAGTGGGCCTTACCTGGTAAAATACAAAACGTAGTTTTAGTTTTGTTTTCAGTTCTATGTGTTGTGAAGGAGGACCATCGCCCAAAACGTCACCCGTTGCATATTTGTTTCCTTTATGAGGCTGACAGTGTTATATTGACGAATGCGTACGATAATTTTTGTTGTTATTATTGTTGTTAAGATATGGCCGAGAGTCGTGAAGCAACGCACGCGCACGCAGGATGTCCTATTGGGGCCCTGCTTCGGTGACGTCTTTATTAGGGCCCTCTGACCTCACGGACCAATCGCCTTGGCTCGTTTACAAAAAAGGGGGGGACTTGAATGTAATTAACGGTGTCAAAACGACAGTGAGGTGGCAGCTTGAGTGTTTCTGCAGCCCTCGTCTGGACACGTTCACGAAGCTTCAGTTGCTGCGTTTATTCATTAATGCGGTGTGAATTAGTTGAATTAGTTGAGAAACTACACTGGTCGTATATTGCGTATCAATCAACCTTCACTCGTGCATGCAGCATGATGTACAACGCAATACGTTCCATTAGTCCACCTGTCTGGTAATACAAATAAATTAATCAAACTTGATTTGGAGCTTTCGTGACTGCAGGAATTACTCTTCGGTATTATTTTATTTATTATTTTCTCTTTCTACGTGAATTTACCGAAAGAACCTAAGAAAAATAAAATAATGTGAGTACATTGCTTTATTGACCTTCTGGACTCGTACTGTGTGGCAGCATTTGATTCCCGCACCTCCGAATAGCGTGGTCGGCTACGTACGGTGCAAAATAAGTTCAACACACACACGCACACACACACACACGCACACACACACACGCACACACATGCACACACACAAAGATCCCCCGTATAGCCTTAACAAACTGTAGGGGCAAGTGCTGTTAGCGAGCACCTATGAAGGCCAGAACGGTACACGAGGGGGTGGGTGGCCAGCACCACGCCCGACCGCCTTTGTCTCCTACCCCAGTGGCGATGTTTATACACCGCACCAGGTACTAATTTCAGGCTGAGTCGACCTAGGGAAGGTCCAGGACCGGTTCAGATAATCGTCACTGGTGTTGGCCGTGAGCGGGAATTGAACACGGGTCACCAGGTTCATAGCGCAGTGCGCTAACCGCTACACTACCGCTCCCATCACACGCACGTACACACACGCACACACACGTACACACATGCACACACACGTACACACATGCACACGCACGTACACACATGCACACGCACGTACACACATGCACACGCACGTACACACATGCACACGCACGTACACACACGCACACACACGTACACACATGCACACACACGTACACACATGCACACGCACGTACACACATGCACACGCACGTACACACATGCACACACACGTACACACATGCACACACACGTACACACATGCACACGCACGTACACACACGCACACACACGTACACACATGCACACACACGTACACACATGCACACGCACGTACACACATGCACACACACGTACACACACGCACACACACACGTACATAGCCACGCAAACTGTGGACGAGTTGAGACCTCGTTTAGACCTTCCAGGTCGTGCGTGGTTGGGTGCGTCGTCTGGCCAGTGTGGACGAGTAGGCCAAAAACACACTCTTAGAAGGGGCACTCCGGAGCGCCCTCTTAGTGGAGGCCCTACCACCAGCAGTGCCGTGAGCGAGCAATTGCAGGCCTGCGCCTCTACCGTTTAGCGTCTCACACACACGGGCAGCCGCAGATTGTGGCAGTTAACATCAATGCGGTCGGCATCCCAACAATAATAATAATTCATAATCAACGTTTTTGGGTTTAGATCGCGTTATTTATAAATGTGTCGTAACCCTTCACCACCCGACACGGCCAATCAGTAAAAAAGTGTCACGTTGACAAAAGACAAATAGTTCACTGCTTTAGCCCACCGGTGTGTTGAAGCCACAACATTTACAATTTGAGTACGACGTTTCGCTGGTAATAATAATGTACATTTTGATTTAAAGTTTGCGTGACTGCAGGGATTCGTATTCTTGGTTCTTTCGGTAAAGTCACGTAGAAGGTAAACACACCTGATGATGATTGCTTGTGTTGCAGTCGAAACGTCGTGAGAATTTTATTGTTTTATATTTTTATTATTTTATTGTTTCATATTTTTATTTTTTTATTGGTTTATATTTGTATTATTTTATTGTTTTATATTTATATTATTTTATTGTTTTATATGTATATAATTTTTTGTTTCCCTTCTACGTGACTTTACCGAAAGAACCAATAATTATAATAATGTAGCACATTGCATTATTCCTCCAACGCAAGACAATTATAATGGGTTCCTTTCCTATTGAAATCGGGCGGTTTGCCAGCATCTGTTCAAGTAAAGGCTGACTGCTGATGAGACACTGAATGTCGAATGCCCCGTTTCGGGAGTTTGCTTGCGTTGAGCCAATGCCGCTGAAATGTTGCACGCCCAGAAGGCACTGCGACTGATGTGTAAGTCGGCATTTATTTTTAACGAGGAGGGACATCTATGGGAAGGAGACGTATTGTCTGCTTATTTATGTTACCACGAAAATGCTATGCTTCACAGGCGGATATAGTTTGATAGTCGCGCATAATGTAACTATGGGGTTTTACCCAGCTCAGTAATTTGTTGGTACTGTACATTTTCAAATTTGCCAAATATGGACCGTGACGCCAGCGCACGTGTGGCCAACTCTCTATCGAATAACGCCACGGGGGGGGGGGGGGACCATTAACATCCACCGTGAAGCAAGACGGCGCATACACACATCCATACACACACACGCATTCTATTCCCGTGCCTAAAACACCCACGGTATTAACCAGGGCGGCCGACCGTTCCCCTGCCCCCTCCCCCAACCACCACCCTCCCCGAACCGCAAAGCGCTCGATACAAACACACTCCGCAAGGAACGAGCGTGCCTTCGTAGTTGAGCAGGAAGCCGGCGTCGTTGACCGAGTCGTCGCTCTGCAGGTAGATGACGGTCTCCCCGCGGCCCTGCATCACGCCGCCGTTGGGCACGCGCGACATGTCACTGCCGCACAGCCGCGTCGGCTCGCGACCCGTGAAGCGCACCTGTGGGGGGGGGGCGGGGCGTGGGGGGGTTCAGGGGGGCGGGGGTCGTGGGGGGGTTGAGGGGGGCGGGGGTCGTGGGGGGGGGTTGAGGGGGGCGGGGGTCGTGGGGGGGTTGAGGGGGGCGGGGGTCGTGGGGGAATTGAGGGGGGTCAGGGGTCGTGGGGGGGTTCAGGGGGGCGGGGGTCGTGGTGGGGTTGAGGGGGGTCAGGGGTCGTGGGGGGTTGAGGGCGGCGGGGGTCGTGGGGGGTTCAGGGGGGGGGGGGTCGTGGGGGGGTTGAGGGCGTCAGGGGTCGTGGGGACGGTTCAGGGGGGCGGGGGTCGTGGGGGGTTCAGGGGGGGGTCGTGGGGGGGTTGAGGGCGTCAGGGGTCGTGGGGGGGTTCAGGGGGTCAGGGGTCGTGGGGGGGTTGAGGGGGTGGGGGTCATGGGGGAGTTCAGGGGGGCGGGGGTCGTGGGGGGGTTGAGGGGGGCGGGGGTCGTGGGGAGGTTGAGGGGGTCAGAGGTCGTAGGTGGGTTGAGGGGTGTGTGGGGGGGGGTGTTCAGGGGGGCGGGGGTCAGGGTTCACACGCTGAGGTTATTAAGAAATCTTCTCTCTCTCTCTCTCCCCGTGGATTTTTTCCTCCGGGTCCTCTGGTTTTGGCCCGACACATTTACGATCGACATCACGCGTTTAGAGCATTTTGATAAAAAAAACAATTATAATTATTTTGCTGCTTTAAATTACGTGATAAGCCACTTTGGTGAGCAATCATTTGTTGCCAGGTCGCTTCTTAAAAAGATATATACAGCTCAGTGGCCGTGAGCTGGTAAAAGAAAAAAATTGTTGAAAAGTCTTTTAAGAGTTTTACGCGCGAGGTTGTTTTTCCACACAGGGCAGATGAGCAGGCGGGCGATAGTGTTTTTTGTTATCGTGATCGTCAAAGCCACATCCACGCCAGAACTGCGTTTTGTGTTTAGTTTGTTGTCCTTCCCCCGCACCTCCAATTAGCACAGTTCGCTACGTACGGTGCGAGAGAAGTTCAACATACATCAGAATCTGAATATTTATTTATACTGGAGGAATCCGATGAGCTATAAAGCTCTTTTTCACAGATGTCCAGCGGGTCAGAACGTTATAAAAACAATACCAAAAACACCATAGGAATGCAAAAATCAGGAAAGATAAACAAGTAACGTGAAAAAATATGCAAATAAAACTAAACTATTTTTTCTACCTTACCAGATAAAACCTACTGTGGTATTAACTTTTTTTGCGCAGATGCGACCTGGCCATAAATGATAGCTGAACAAAGTGGCTTTTCACGTGGACATTTTAGCAGCTTAATGGATATTGCCCACAAATCGGCAATGCTGGACCAGGCTCTAGTGACCATAGCAGCCACACGACGGACCGTTCTTCATTTTTCATTGATGGGAGGATGTTACTGCTGCACCGCATTTGCCATTCCCTGTTCTGCTGCGTAGTAAATGTGCATGCAGCTGCAGAGTAATGCGACTTCCCGCGCGCTCTCTGTGTCCACACGTGTATGCACGCCCACACTCGGCACACGCACGGTGACATTTCCGTGAAATCTCGGCTGGGAAGTTCCGCATCAAAGGGAACACAACCCAGATATTGCCCATTCAAACTTCCATCTGTTTTGTGAACAAACAAAAAAAGCCGAATGTTCAGGACGGGTTTGACATTGCCGAGGCCGTGAAAGCAGTGTGAGTGGTGGTGCAGCCAAGGCACGAAGGCAAACCCAAACGCTTCCGCACCGGCGGAATTGGCAAGCTTCTTCTTGGTTCTTTCGGTAAAGTCACGTAGAAGGGAAGTAATAAAAGAATAAAAATAAAACATAGCGAGAATTATTTTATTATATTATTTTATTTTATTATTTTATTATGTTTTATTTTTATAATTTTATTACTTCCCTTCTACGTGACTTTACCGAAAGAACCAAGAAGATGAATCCCTGCAGTCACGAAAGCTTTAAATCGAAATCGGCAAGCTTGCGGGCTGCTAGGACGAGGAGTGCGATGATGTGACAGAGGGTGACTGCGGAACATAATTGCGTGTCATGTTGATGCAAACAAATTGGAAAATATATTGTGTCTCTGTACTTCTTGGAACACCCTTGCACTGATTTCTACCGTATGCCCCGAATTATAAGAACCTCTGCCAAGATGCACCCCAAACCTGTGCAATGCGTTCCACCACCATTATTCTCCCCCCCCCCCCCAATCCTTCTGCACCGAATTGTGACGATTCAAGGTTACAATGGCCCATCGCGGTGTCAAGGAGATGTTAATTCCCTCGCCTGGTATGCAGGAGGGCGTGAGTTCGATCCCGACCCTGACGATGCCTGTTGTGTGTTTGAAGTTTGCGTGTTCGCTCTCTCTCTCTCTCCGTGGTCTTTGCATGGATTTGTCTCTCGGTTCCTGCGGTCCCCCCCCGCCCCCGTCACAATAAGATACGTGCCTTCACATGCTACTGTAGATCCCCACGTGTGATGATATAAACCACTGACATGAGCTATCAAGCACGCAGAGGTCACCTCTGAAAAAGAGCGAATAGCTAAGTGAGCTTAACCTGGTGAATAAAATATCGTCAATAAAAAAAACTGTTTTAAGAAATTGATTTTAACAAGCGACTATTTCGAACATCGCGGTACGTCGTGGCTGCAGGCGGTGACAGGAAACCCAATCCGGACAACTTGTGCAAATCCACAACAACAAAAATCTACGTGATACATACAGTGATGATTAGAATTAAGAAATTATAGAGGTTTTTTTCGGTGAAATCGCGTAAATATATAAATGTGTCGTTAAAACCCGCCACCACCCGACACAGCCAACTAGTAAGGGTTGTCACGTAAACAGAACGTGGCCAATTCGTCACTAGTACAGCACACCGGTGTGCTGGAGAGCCAAGCCACAACATTTACAATCTGAGTACGACGTTTCGCCAGTAATTACAACCAGCTTCATCAGGCAACAGCCAGATTTGTGGAGAAGTCCACCTGTTTCGGTGGAGATTACTGAGGCAACGTACATTATGCATTATGCGAGCCCTTTGAACTTGTCCTTCCTGTCTATTGCGCGAATTAAAATAGCCGTACCAACGGTAATAGTTATGGATGATATTGGTCTGGAAAGCCTACGTGTCTTAAATAGATTCGAATTGTTGAATCCTTCACTCGACCAGGTGCTGTGGGCCACCCATCATTACGAGGAGCAGCCCACCTTCAGGATTGCGGCCGCGAACATCAAAGCCAAACCGCGCAATAACGACGCATCCTCCCGAATGTCTCGCGTTCACAAGCATCGCTCCCGCAGCCCTCCCAGCAGAGGTTCATCCCGGCCTCGACATCAACGTATATGATTACTAATCTACAACTCGCATCGTAACAATAGCCTGATTACTAATCTAGTATATAATTACAATAACCCCCCCCCTCAAATCTTTGCACTTGATGAGTTAATGAGTTAATGATGACGTCACCCTGCTGCTGCTCTATATAAGAACGGGAGACAGAGCAGAGCCTCACCATTCTGGCGAATTGCCCGATGATGCTGGATGCAATTACCAGCGAAACGTCGTACTCAAAAATTGTAAATGTTGTGGTTTCACGCTTCAACACACCGGTGGGCTAAAGCAGTGAACTATTTGTCTTTTGTCAACGTGACACTTTTTTACTGATTGGCCGTGTCGGGTGGTGGAGGGTTACGACACATTTATAAATAACGCGATCTAAACCCAAAAACGTTGATTATGAATAATATTGGTCGCGAAAGCCTACGTGTTCAACTAACGTATAAAGTCGCCGCTAACCACAGGCCCCCACGCCCCCCCGCCCCCACCTCCGTACGAACCGAAACGAACCGATCCAAAATGCGTCGAGCGGCACCGACCGCGCGCCGGGCTCCCCTACCTCCAAGAAGTCCCAGCGGCAGGTGGGGTCATCCTCGATGCGCATGGAGCGCATGCGGATACGCACGGTGTCGCGGCCTCCCGCGCGGATCTCCCACGTGCACCGCACGCGGTTCGGGTAGCCGGGCTGCGGGTAGCCGGGGCTGGCCACCTCTCCCCGCCGCTCGGTCAGAACGCCGCCGCATGGCTGGGGGCTCGCTGGTTGCAGACGCGCGTCCCGACGGACACACAAAAGCGAGGCGGACGAAGTGAAGGTCAAACTCCTTGCTTTGGGCGGTGCGGCCCTTGATAAGATCGTGCGTTTAAGCTGCAGTGAGACTGTGGCCATGCAACTCAAACTACTGCAGTAGTAGATTATCGCAGTCTGTGCTCTCATTCAACGGGGGAATAGCAAAATTACACGAACTCTCTCCTCCATTCTTCTCGTGGCCAACAGAACTCGACATTGGCATTGAGCCCGTGGACATATTACCGTGAACATTGCCGTGAACATTGCCGCCGTACGCGAGGATAGAAGAGAAATTCCATGAAAATAAAATCATGCTCGCCAGCCTTTGCCATCCCTTTCGGCCCTACGTATGTATGTTGAACTTCTTTTGCACTGTACGTAGCCAAAACGTGTTAATCGGAGGCGCAGGGGGAAGGGCAACCAACTAAACACGAAATGCAGTTCTAAAGAAATTCTTTTCAATCTAGATTTGAAGGTGCAGAGCACCAAGTGGCTTTCTAATGTCGGAAGGGAGAGCGTTCCAGACGGCCGCAGAAGCGCGGCGATGCAGAGACCATTCATTGGAGGCAGGGGGTGCCTTGCCCCCCCCCCCAACCCCTTGGTCGCCAAAGCTCCGAGTTGGGGGGGCCACCCTTGACAACCATCCTGAGATGTGTTTTCAACAACGGTGTAAGAAAGAACAAAAAATATTTAAAACGCGGTTTAATTTTACTTTTGTTGATGAAAATGCTGTCATTTGCGCTCCACGTTTTATTGAAATTAATTTAGAGCAGTAACGGGTTTGGCTTCCGCAAATTGCGCACATAAAATATTGGGGCTCCACCGGAGTGATTTCCGCAACCCCCTGAGCTGATAACGTAGTTTACTTCGCCAGTGGCGGTGTGGAAAGCGAAGCGCTTTGACGCCGGGTGCAGAGAGTGGCATTCGCGCTCCGCCAAAGATTACGGGCTGCAATTAAATCTAACAATCCGGGGCAGACAATCGGACGCTTACCTCCGGGAGCGGTCGCCCGATGCGGCTCCCCCGCCCCGCGTCCCGAATGCGTGCCCCCCGGGGGTCAATAAAGTTGTACAAATCCCGTCTCAAAGACAAAGATCGCCCGTATAGCCTTAACCGACTTTTGGGGCGAGTGCTGTTAGCGAGCGCTGATAAAAGGCAGGCACGGAACACGAAAGGGGTGGGGGTGGCCAGCACCACGCCCGACTGACTTTGTCTCTCCGGTGGCGATGTTTACACACCGCACCAGGTACTCATTTGAGGCTGAGTCGACCTAGGGGAGGCCCAGAAGCAGTTCAGATAATCGTCACCGGTGTTGGCCGTGAGCGGGAATCGAACTCGGGTCGCCAGGTTCGCAGCGCAGCGCACTAACAGAGTTCTCCTAGGCTGCAACGTATGTTTTGGCAATAGGCAAAAATACATAGCTCATGCTGAGAGACGACCACAATATTGCTCGGATTCAACCCCCTGAGCGGGAATCAAAGTTGCAAATCTCCAATCCTGGCTCAATTTCTCTGCCACGGAGCCAAACGACGCAGTTCAAGTCACGATGACCGTCGCTGCGGACTTGTACTGATGCTTATGCGCAGCGCCAGGTAATAATTTAAGCCTGAGTCGACCTAGGACAGGCCCTGGACCGGTTCAGATAATAACCACTGATGTTTGCCGTGAGAGGGAGTCAAACGCGGGGCCACCGAGTTTGTAGCGCAGTGCGCCACGCGGTACACTTCAGCGTGCGTGCAAAAGACAAAGATTCCCCGTATAGCTTTTAACACACTGTTGGGGCAAGTGCTGTTCGTGAGCACTCATCAAGACCAACGTAGCACACGAGGGGGTGGTGGGTTGGCCAGTACCACCTCCGGCTGCCTTTGTCTCCCCCAGCGCCGATGTTGTCACACGGCACCATGTGGTGCTCGTTTAGGGCTGAGCAGACCTATCGGGAGGCGCGCGCCCAGCGAAGTTATCCGTCAGCGACGCGGGGAAGTTTAAGAATCGGGTCGCCGGCTTCGTGGCGCAGTGCGCTTCCCGCTCATCCGACAACGCGAGATGCCGTCCAAACGCGCGCACGGTCCGAACGCGCAAGAGCGACGGCATCTCACTTCAAGCGGGCGCGGAAAGCGGCGTCAACCCCTCACTCGACTCCCCAATAAAAATCTGTCACGAGTGATATTGCCTCGGGCGCTTTAAAATCCGCCGCCGACGCCGAGGCTAAGGGCGCCATTGGCAACACGTCAGTTGGAATTGACGTGTCCGACTAATAAAATCCATTCTTTAATTACACCGCATGCGACAGAATCGGGTGACGCGAGGCTGTGTGCGGGGGGGAATTAAACGCACGTGGCAGACGAACGCCGACGTTGAGTTCTTCCGGTGAAGTCAATAAAGTCGGCGGCTCAACGTCTGCGGATTCGTCTAACTTCAGTGCCGACCGCGTTGCAGCCTGCCTGGCCACGCTCCCCTCTCTCTCCCCTCTCTCTCTCTCGGTGCCTTTCCCGCACCCCTGGCAGGCCACGTAAACATAACTCTTGGCATGCTCATAGTTTTTTCGGTAAAGTCACGTAGGTAAAAATGAAATTAAAATTAATCAAAATAAAATAATTAAAAATCACGACGTTTCGGAGGCAACACAAGTCTCCGTCATCAGGTGGGACCGTCACAGCTAAATTTGCTGCATCAAGTGATACAGCAACACAGTGATACAGCCTCACTTGATACAGCAAATCTGGCTGTGACGGTCCCACCTGATGACGGAGACATGTGTTGCTTCCGAAACGTCGTGATTTATTATTATTTTTATAAATTTTTATTTCATTTTTTACCTACGTGACTTTTTTTACCTACGTGACTTTACCGAAAAAACTAAGAGTATGAATCCTTGCAGTCACGAAAGCTTCAAATCTAGAACCCTTGGCCCCACGCATGTTGACCGACTGGACCGCTGCTGCTGTTACATCACGCAGCGATGCCCTCGATGTTGCGCATGTATTCGATACAAAGAGAAGTTTCGGGTCAAATTGAACTCTGGATGTTATTACTTTTGAACAGAAAGCTAACAATTAAGTTAAGCAATAAAAACATTTCACTGACACGAACGAATAAATTGCAAATGTTTCTGTCCGTGGTAAGATATAAATGAGAATAGAATTGCAATAAGGTATGGATTGTTGAGGGTTGCGCATCACGATGTTTATTTAATTCATGTCTGTATTTTATTTGAATGATGTAGGGTATAAATTTAATGTTATTTTCAATATGAATTGTCTTTTGTTTACAATATGGATGGCAAGTTGTGAAGTGTTTATAGCATGACATAGTGATTTCCGAAGGCTATGAGCGCATGCTCATGAGTACCAATGTGATAAGTTATTCAATAGTGGAAGTTTCAATATACGAACGAAGCTCCAGTAACACATCTACTTCGTATATCGAGGTATTGCTGAATGTAATATCGTAGCAAAGTTTCGCACCTTATTAGTCAGGCATTAAAATTATTACCATTCTGTTTTTGAAACAAAACTGTCCAAATACTGTTCAATGCGAAACTGAAGGGTATAGGGTAAGCGACTTGCATGTTTGGAAGAAAAATGTAAAGGTGGCAATGGGTGGGACATATACAAGATGTTGGAGAGACACATACTGTGGTAGGCACTGGAGCCTGGCCCAGATGTCAGAGACCAAGGGGAATGTCTGAAGCCAAGAGGAAGACCTAATGCCAGTGGGTAGACCTACAGCCAAGAGGAAGTCCTAATGCCAGGGAGTAGACCTACAGCCAAGAGGAAGACCTAATGCCAGTGAGTAGACCTACAGCCAAGAGGAAGAATAATGCCAGGGGTGGACCTACAGCCAAGAGGAAGACCTAATGCCAGTGAGTAGACCTACAGCCAAGATGAAGACCTAATGCCAGTGAGTAGACCTACAGCCAAGAGGAAGACCTAATGCCAGTGAGTAGACCTACAGCCAAGAGGAAGACCTAATGCCAGTGGGTAGACCTACAGCCAAGAGGAAGACCTAATGCCAGTGGGTAGACCTACAGCCAAGAGGAAGACCTAATGCCAGTGGGTAGACCTACAGCCAAGAGGAAGACCTAATGCCAGTGAGTAGACCTACAGCCAAGAGGAAGACCTAATGCCAGTGGGTAGACCTACAGCCAAGAGGAAGACCTAATGCCAGTGGGTAGACCTACAGCCAAGAGGAAGACCTAATGCCAGGGGGTAGACCTGCAGCCAAGAGGAAGACCTAATGCCAGTGGGTAGACCTACAGCCAAGAGGAAGACCTAATGCCAGTGGGTAGACCTACAGCCAAGAGGAAGACCTAATGCCAGTGAGTAGACCTACAGCCAAGAGGAAGACCTAATGCCAGTGGGTAGACCTACAGCCAAGAGGAAGACCTAATGCCAGTGGGTAGACCTACAGCCAAGAGGAAGACCTAATGCCAGGGGGTAGACCTGCAGCCAAGAGGAAGACCTAATGCCAGTGGGTAGACCTACAGCCAAGAGGAAGACCTAATGCCAGTGGGTAGACCTACAGCCAAGAGGAAGACCTAATGCCAGTGGGTAGACCTACAGCCAAGAGGAAGACCTAATGCCAGTGAGTAGACCTACAGCCAAGAGGAAGACCTAATGCCAGTGGGTAGACCTACAGCCAAGAGGAAGACCTAATGCCAGTGGGTAGACCTACAGCCAAGAGGAAGACCTAATGCCAGTGAGTAGACCTACAGCCAAGAGGAAGACCTAATGCCAGTGAGTAGACCTACAGCCAAGAGGAAGACTTAATGCCAGTGGGTAGACCTACCGCCAAGAGGAAGACCTAATGCCAGTGAGTAGACCTACAGCCAAGAGGAAGACCTAATGCCAGTGAGTAGACCTACAGCCAAGAGGAAGACCTAATGCCAGTGAGTAGACCTACAGCCAAGAGGAAGACTTAATGCCAGTGGGTAGACCTACAGTCAAGAGAAAGACCTAATGCCAGTGAGTAGACCTACAGCCAAGAGGAAGACCTAATGCCAGTGGGTAGACCTACAGCCAAGAGGAAGACCTAATGCCAGGGGTAGACCTGCAGCCAAGAGGAAGACCTAATGCCAGTGAGTAGACCTACAGCCAAGAGGAAGACATAATGCCAGTGAGTAGACCTGCAGCCAAGAGGAAGACCTAATGCCAGTGAGTAGACCTACAGCCAAGAGGAAGACCTAATGCCAGTGGGTAGACCTACAGCCAAGAGGAAGACCTAATGCCAGTGGGTAGACCTGCAGCCAAGAGGAAGACCTAATGCCAGTGAGTAGACCTGCAGCCAAGAGGAAACCCTTATGCCAAGGGGTAGACCTACAGCCAAGAGGAAGACCTAATGCAATGGGTAGACCTACAGTGAAGAGGAAGACCTGAAGATAGATGGTAGTAGTGAGACTGTAAGAGCGGTCCTTGAAGGGTTGGTTGTTACCTTTTTAAACATTTTCATTGACACATCAACAACATAAGGAACCAAAACCACGGCTCTACAATTCCAAGCGACCGCCATAAAGCGATCGTAAAGCAGAGCAGTCTTCAGCTGTGATCTAAGGAGAGATAGAGAAATAGGAGAATAGTGGAAATAGAAACAAGAATAGAAAAGAGATAGGGAAGAAATGCAACGGAAATTGTGATTTGGGGGGTGGAAAGAAAATGACGATTGTATATGGGAAAGTTAGATCAGGGGCGAATCAACAAAGTGTGAAAACACTTACTCGTGGTCGACTACAGGATCTAGCAGGAGGAAGGAAGCGATAGCGAGAGGTGCGGACGCATCACCAACTTTGGCCGTGATGACTTTGTCACCTTGGAATTTGTCGTAGTGAGTCTTGAGAAAGTAGTGCCCCAAATATTGATAAGTTAAGTGGGAAGAAAACCCGTTGTAAGCGAAACTAACGTGATTGTCCGCTGCATCAAATAAGTCCACTTCAATTCACGGATGAGAATCGGCTTAAGCATGCGCAACGCTCTTTGTCGCTGACACTCGCACGGACGATGCCGAGGTAGGGCAGTCTTACCTTCGCGCCAGCTCAGGTACAGAAGCAAGAAGATGAGAGCCCATCTCGTCCTTACAAAAGCCATGAGCGGTCGTCGAGGCCAGCTCAGCAACACGAGGGAGCGAGCGCCCGCGGGTTCATCACGCGCGGCCCTCCATCGTTGGAACTACAAGTGCCCAACAACAACAACAAAAACCAGGCACGGGCAAAAAAAATACAATTAGACGTGGCCGCTGTGAAACACGCAGAGACAACTCGGAGAGAGAGACCGAGAGAGACAGAGAACACAACTCGAGTGAATCCTCGGACCCTCCGATAGCCTCTACTTGCCTTTGACGTCCAGTAGAAAGACAACGTGATTGATGCGTGCGTTCATAATTAAGGATTCTTTTCGAATGTCGTGAAGGGTCATTGAAGCGCAGCTGCTGCGCTGCTGTGCCGCCCACGTGTCTGGGTGGAGAGGTGGATGCTGGTTGGTGATTGTGGCTGGGCGGGTGGCTGGGCGGGTGGGTGGGCGGGTGGGGAATTTGGTTGGAGTTTGTTGGGTCATGTTTGCGGCCGCCTCGTATGAGCAAAGGACAAGTGGAAAACAACCCAAGAAAAAACCCAAGAAAAAACCCAAGAATATGCAAAGGACAAGTGGAAAAAAACCCAAGAAAGAACCCAAGAATATAAGAAAATACAAAGGACAAGTGGAAATAAAACCCAAGAAAAAACCCAAGAATATGCAAGGGACAAGTGGTTCACGATCGACCCGACGATTTTAAATTTGGATGCAGTCCGCTACCCGCTTTGCGTGCGCTCTCGCGCGGAAGCAAGAACCGAGGCAAAATCTGCCCGCTCTTACTCGCGACGCGTTGTGTGGTTATTGCTGCAGCGCGGCGTCTTGCTTGGTGATGCCGGTGGTGTTTTTGAAACCAGCGGTCGCAAATGCCGACATCGATATGCTCAACTCGCGTGTAAAATAGCTAACGGCGGACGGCACAGTCCTGTTGATTGGCAAACGCGCAGGGGTCGAACGCACGTCGAGTTTTCGTTTTCACAACTGGCGAACATGAAAACTCCCAACGCATTCGTCGATAAAACTTTCATAATAGGAGTTTGATCGCTGCTTGTTTAATAGCGCGAAGATCCAAACTCACGCTTCCTTCTTGTTCTCCGGGTCCATCCGTTGACAGTCCGGCAAGTCGATCCATCCATTCACGGAGCGGTGCGGCTCGCCTTCAATCAGACGTTGCAACGGCTCGCCTTGCCAATGCGGGCTTGTCGAGAATAGATCTGGGACAGAAGCCGAACGGTGCAAGGGGACGTCCATGCCCAACCCTGGCGCTCACTCATCATCGTCGTCATCATCATCATCATCGTCATCATCATCGTCATCATCATCGTCGTCAGCATTATCGTCATCATCGTCGTCATCATCATCGTCATCATCGTCATCATCGTCGTCATCATCGTCATCATCATCATCGCTATCATTGTCATCATTATCGTCATCATCATTATCGTCATCATCATCATCATTATCGTCATCATCATCATCATCGTCATCATCATCATCGTCATCATCATCATCGCTATCATTGTCATCATTATCGTCATCATCATCATCATTATCGTCATCATCATCATCATTATCGTCATCATCATCATCATCATCGTCATCATCATCATCGTCGTCATCATCATCATCGTCGTCGTCGTGGCGCCGTGCCTATCCAGGAGGAAGTGTGCTGGCTCGGGGCGATGGAACGCGACATCGGGAGGAACGTTCGAAAGAGCCCCTTGATGGCTACCACTACCCTGCATACGGCCGTGCCCAACGCATGATCACCGCGTTTTACCCAAAACCTATTGGTGCACCGATGCCTGCCGCCGCCAACGGGTGACGATGGTTTCAAGTGGCCGGCTACACCGCGGGAAGAGCCCGCAAGGACTGAAGCAAAGAAGCACTGAGCTCCAACACCTGACATCCATCGCGCTCATGGCGGTTTCTAAATGCCTTGGCGAGAGTCGCAGCTGCTCGTGACACTGTCCCGTGTGGCGAGGTAGTTGACATGTCGCCTCGCTGGCGATATGTCAACTTATTCATATTCTTAGTTTTTTTCGGTAAAGTCACGTAGGTAAAACATTAAAATTAATAAAAGTAAAATAAAATAAAAATCACGACGTTTCGGAGGCAACACAAGCTTCCGTCTTCAGGTGGAACCGTCACAGCCACGACATGATACAGCTGTCGTGGCTGTGACGGTTCCACCTGAAGACGGAAGCTTGTGTTGCCTCCGAAACGTCGTGATTTTTATTTTATTTTACTTTTATTAATTTTAATGTTTTACCTACGTGACTTTACCGAAAAAACCTAAGAATATGAATCCTTGCAGTCACGAAAGCTTCAAATCTAGATATGTCAACTACCTCGCCTGGTACGCAGGAGATCGTGGGTTCCATCCCGACTGTGGCGATGCCTGTATATTTGGAGTGTACGTGTTCTCTCTCTCTCTCTCTCACCGTGGTCGCGTGGATTCTTCTCCGGGTCCTTCGGGGGTTTCCCTCCACGATTAGAATCGACATCGCGCATTTAAGAGCACGTGGCACCAATACATTTCCACGTGGTAAGCCACTTCGTTCAGCTATCATTTGTGGCCAGGACGCTTCTGAAAAAATGTTCTGCGGCTCAGTGGGACTTACATTCCTAAATCATTGCACGCTCTTTTTATATAATCCGAGGAACAGGTTAAAATTATCTAATAAGGCGAGTTGAATGTTGCTGTGAGTCAAAACAAATCCTGATAAAGCGGTGTCTTGAACTGTTCCAATTACAATTACACGTTGATGCCATCCGCCCATCCGCAAGTGCGAGCCAGGCAAAATCTCTGCTTCGTCTCCGAGATCGGGAACATTTAAAGAACGAGTTCGATTCCCAGCCACGGCTAACAACAGTAGCATGCGAGTTTTGATCTGGTCGAGCGAGTGATTTCCTAAGTGCCCGGAGAAATCCCCACGCATGCGACGGTCCTTGCCTTTAACATCTGGCAGTTCAGCAGCATGAGTGATTCAAGCAAGCTTGGCTTGTGCTGATGAGACAATGAATGTGCAAATCGATTCAGAGTAACTTATTGTTGAACCAATGCTGCTGCAGTTGTGCATTGCCAGAAGGCCGTGTGGCTGATGAGATTTGTAAAACATTTTTTTTATAGACAAATGTTACGTGGAGGGACATATAGAGGAATGAGCAGCCAGCTGACAATATTGTCTCCTTATCCTGGTCTCTATAGCTCATCGCATTCCTCCAGCATGAATACATACTTTAATTCTGATACATGTTGAAGTTAATTCCCAACTTACGTAGCAAACGGCGCTAAACGGAGGTGCGGGTGGAAGGACAGCAAACTAAACACAAACAATTAGTTCTCAAGGAATGGGGTTTCAATCGGTTTAAAAGTGGATAGCTCCAAGTGGCGTCCAAATATCGGAAGGAAGAGCGTTCCAGACGGCCGTAGAAGCGCATCTGAAAGCGTGCGATGCGGTGATAAATCATCTTTGATCGATGGCCAGCCAAAAGCCTCCGCTGCGAGGATGACCGGAGTTCCCGTGATGGTTTATGCTCCTTGACGAGATCATCAATGAGTTCCGATATTAGAAAGCCACTGGAGCTATGCACTTTGAAATCCAGATTGAAAACTAATTTGTTTAAAACCGCATTTCGTGCTTAGTTTGTTGTCCTTCCCCCGCACCTCCGGTGTGCACGGTTGGCTACGTACGGTGCGAAAGAAGCCCAGCATACACACATGTCACTCGGGTTTCAAGACCTGCGCGCACTTGGCAAGGCTTCAAACACGACATTCGGTTGCTGTAACTACAGCGGAAAGGCCGCAGCCCACGTCGCTGGGCGCGCCGAGTGATATTTGAAGACTTTTTTTTCTCTTCTTGGTTTTTTCGGTAAAGTCACGTAGAATGGAAATAATAAAATAATAAAAATAAAATATAATAAAATAATTCTCACGACGTTTCGGCCACAACGCAAGCAGCCGTCCTCAGGTGGAGAACAGGTCGTCATAATCATCGTCATCATCATCCGAGAAGACAGAGTCTCTGTCTTCTCGACAGACCTGTCCTCCACCTGAGGACGGCTGCTTGCGGTTTGGACCGAAACGTCGTGATAATTATTTTATTATGTTTTATTTTTATTATTTTTTTATTTCCATTCTACGTAACTTTACCGAAAGAACCAAGAAGACGAATCCCTGCAGTCACGAAAGCTTTAAATCGAAATTTGACTCTTTGGTTCTTTCCGTAAAGTCACGTATAAAGAGAAAATAATAAATTAAATACTAGAATACGACGTTTCGATTGCAACACAAGCAATCATCATCAGGTGTAAATGAAATAGAAACACAAATCTAGTATACTGAGAAATGTACACTCTGGTTCTGTATTTTATCTCTCTCTCAAATTTAGCATTCTCAGGAAGAACGTAATCAACCAGATAGCGTGTTGACTGTTATGTTATCCGACTCTCTGTTGTATTACATTACATTTCCAAGTATACTAGATTTGTATTTCTATTTCATTTATACCTGATGACGATTGCTTGTGTTGCAATCGAAACGTCGTATGCTAGTATTTAATCTATTATTTTCTCTTTATACGTCACTTTACCGAAAGAACCAAAGAGTAATTCCTGCAGTCACGAAAGCTCCAAATTAAGTGTGATATTTGAAGACATCAAAGAGAGCGCGTGGCGACCCACCGACCACCGCGTTTGGCTTCGAGAGTCGCTTCTGCCCGCTGCTGTTCTCTGGTGGGCATTGCACCACGGGCTCGAACGAGAGAATTGACGGGGGTTTTTATTTGCCGACTCACTGCCGCATTCTCGCGGATCACCGAGCTCGCGTGCCATCACCCGCTGTCAATGGAGTTATGCAAATGTCAAATCTTGACGCTTTCGTGACTGCAGGAATTCATGTTCTTTGGGTCTGTCGGTAGAGTCACGGTGATGGGTTCATCGCGTAGATCGTGTCATCGGGTGACGAGAGCTTGTGCTGCGATCGAAATGTCGTCGTTTTGTTGTTCTTTGCTTTGAACCTATCTACGTGACTTTACCGAAAGACCCAAAGAATTATACAAATGTTGTCGCACGCTGGATTATAAGACGCACCACCCCCACCAGCTGTTGCTTTGAAATACGATGAAGGGAGGGGGGAGGGTGCGTCTTGTAAATCCGGACAATACGGAAAATTAA